GATAGCCCAGCATGAGCGTCAAATTAGGACTTCCAACCATAATTCTGTCAATCCTATGGCCTGTTCTGTACAATCTGGTCAAAATAAGGGCAATAACCAGTCAAAAAGGCCTATCTGTACGTTCTGTGGATTAACTGGGCAAACTATTGATCGTTGTTACAAGAAACATGGTTATCCACCAGGTTATAAGCCACGTTCTAGAGTCAATGTTGTGGTTAGTGAGTCTGTTGATACTAACAGTTTTGGTTCTGGTGAGAACGGAAGTGTTCCTTCCGATTCTATTGTGTTGACACAGCAACAATATAGAGCTTTGTTTGCTCAGAGTCACCCCCAAGCTCTTCCACCTCCAGCCCCTATTGTGAACTCTGTCACTACTGGAGTTTGTGTCGAGCATTCTTATCCAATGCACTCCTCATTCCTGGCTTCTTCATCAGTGCTTCTTCAAGCTAGGATGGAGGTAAGTTTGTTCTTGCCAATTCTATGATTGACAATGCTTCTAAGTGGATTTTAGACAGTGATGCTTCTGACCATGTTGTGTCTGATATTGCTTGTTTGCTATCACCTACTGTTGTATGTGATATGTTTGTGTCTCTACCAAATGGCTGTCGAGTGTCTGTTACTCATATAGGGCCAGTTAGGTTAAATGAACAGTTGATTCTTAAGAAAGTTTTGCTAATACCTCAATTTGGTTTAAATTTGATCTCGGTTAGCTAATTAAGCAAGGATTCGTCATGTTCCTTGATGTTTTTTTAATGATCATTGCTTACTACATGATCTGGCCTCCCGCAAGATGATTGGTATAGCTAGAGAGAGTGGTGGCCTTTACTGCTTTTCAGCAAAAGTGCACAACTCAGCTCCTCTGCCTCTACCAATATCTTCATCATGTCCAGATTCTTCTGCTTTCTCTGTGTTGTTTGATAAGACTGTTCATGATTTTGACCTTTGGCACTTCCGCCTTGGTCATGTATCTTTGTCTCGTTTACAAACTCTAGCTTCTAGAATAAGTGGGATTGATTCAAAGTGTACAAAACATTGTTCTGTTTGCCCATTGGCCAAACAAAAACGTCTTCCTTTTATGGTAAGTGAGTCCCAAGCTGAGCATATGTTTGATCTAGTACATACGGATATTTGAGGTCCTTACAGTGTCCTACTATTGATGGTCATCGTTACTTTTTAACTATCGTAGATGACTATTCACGAAATACGTGGGTCTATCTTATGCATAAGAAGTCTGCAGCTCGACCATTAATTCAAAATTTTGTGGATCAGACTACTTGTGTAGAGTCTTCTCAGCAAAATGGTCGGGTGGAGCGCAAGCAGCAGCATATCATTGCTGTTGCTCGAGCTCTTTTGTTTCAGTCTTCACTTTATTCTAGGTTTTGGGGTCATGTTATTTTACATGCGACTTTTTTGATTAATACAATCCCTAGTCCAGTTTTAGGAAATAAATCTCCCTATAAATTGCTTCATAATTCTGTACCAGATTATAGTGGTTTTCGTGTTTTTGGTTGCTTGGCTTATGCTTCAACTTTGTCTCATAATCGCCCCAAGTTTGAGCCAAGAGCAGATCCTTGTGTCTTTCTAGGATTTCCATTTGCCACTAAAGTTTTCAAGCTTTACAATCTAGCTACCAATACTGTATTCGAATCTCGAGATGTAATTTTTCACGAATCCATCTTACCTTTCTTTTCTAAGAGTCAAAAATTGGATTCGGTTGATTTTTCATTTCATGTTATCCAAGTTCTCCATCTGCTGCAGTTACACCTCATGATGTCAACACAGTGGATGGTTTAGTCCCATCATTGGATCCCGACCAACATATAGGAGTCACAACTCCTTCTACTTCTGATAAGGAGGATGGAGTCCCACCTCCTAAGTATCCTCCTGTTTTTTATAATGAGCCACTAGGTCGTTCAATCAAGAATAGATAACGTCCTGCTCATTTGCAAGGCTATGTTTGCAACTCTGCGGTCAACTCATCTATTCCCTATCCATTATCTTCTATTATTTTTAATGCTAACCTTGCTAATGGTCATTCTAGTTTTGTTAATGTAGTAAGTTCAATTTAAGAACCTACTAGTTATCACGAGGAAGCAAAGGATGAACGTTGGAATGCTGATGTTAACACAGAACTGGATGCACTACTCAGAACCAATACGTGGACTATTGTATTGCGTCCACCAGGTGTCAAACCCACTGGGAACAAATGGGTTTTCAAGGTAAAGTTCCACCCTGATGGAACTATCGAGCTTTTTAAAGCTCGATTAGTTGCTAAAGGGTATACTCAAACTGAAGGAATAGATTATTTAGATACTTTTCACCAGTTGCAAAATTAACAACTGTTAGGGCCTTGCTTACTTTAGCTTCCATAAAAGGATGGCATTTACATCAATTAGATGTAAATAATGCTTTCTTACATGGTGAATTAGATGAAGATGTATTAATGAAAGTACCTCTAGGATTAAACCTTCCTCCTAATTCTGGTGATGTTGTATGTAAATTGAATAAATCCCTTTATGGCCTAAAACAAGCTAGTAGGCAGTGGAATCACAAGTTAACAGGGTTTCTTCTGAATGCTGGTTATCAACAATCAAAAGCTGATTTCTCGTTGTTTACTAAACAAAAGGATGGACAGTTTCTTGCTTTACTTGTTTATGTAGATGATATCATTTTGGCTGGTGATTATTTGTCTGAAATTTAGTGTCTTAAGAAGGGTTTAGATGCTGCATTCAAAATCAAAGACCTCAGACATGTTAAATACTTTCTTGGTTTGGAAATTGCGCGTAAATATATTGGTATTTGCATTTGCCAACGTAAGTATGTTTTAGATATCTTATATGATTCTGGATTGTCAGCTGCCAAACCTGTTAGTACACCCTGTAACCCAGGAATTAGGACGTCTAGCAAGTCTGGTGTTTTACTTGATGATGCTTCTGTTTATCGTCGATTGGTAGGACGTTTATTGTATCTATGTAATACACGTCCTGACATAGCTTTTGCTGTACATCAGTTAACTCAATTCATGAGTGCTCCTACTGATATACATTTGCAAGCAGCTTATCGAGTCCTTCATTATTTGAAAGCTAATCCTGGACTTGGTTTGTTTTTTCCCAGCACTTCAGAACTAACTGTTAAAGCTTTTTTAGATAGTGATTGGGCTGGCTGCCCAGATTCCCGCCGCTCCACAATAGGTTTTTGTTTGTTTTTAGGCAATTCATTGATTGCTTGGCGTTCCAAGAAACAGAAAACTATATCTCTGTCCTCTACTGAGGCTGAATATAGGGCAATGGCAGATCTCACTTGTGAAATTTAGTGGTTGCATTTTGTTTTTGCTGCTTTAGGTGTTTCATTTATAGCACCTAGTATCTTATATTCTGATAGTCAATCAGCTATCCGCATAGCTGAAAATCTAGTTGCACACGAGCGTACTAAACATATAGAATTAGATTGTCATTTAACACGCGATAAGATAGCTTCTATTTTGATTAAGGTGCTGCATATTTCTACTTCTAACCAGGTTGCTGACATATTTACAAAGTTTTTGCCTACTGCAGTGTTTTCTGGTTTGCATGCCAAGCTGGGCACTCTTGACATTCATGCTACAGCTTGAGGGGGGGGGGGTGTTGAACCATATTCCGGTAACCCCGTTCCTTGTTGTTCTTTCGTTCCTAACAGAGTCCTCCGCTATGAACTTGCCGGAAAGGTTCCAATTGGGATGGAGGATAGTCTAAATTGAAACCATCAACTGAAGCAGGAATCGTGTGTCCCCTCAAACTTTGCGCTTGCATTCTTATTTGGTTGGAGCAAGGTGGGAAAAGGGGCTGGCAACTCCATCGAAAGAGGATGCGGTGAGCAAGATGGGTGCTTCTCGGGCCTCCGGAGAGACCGCTAGAGATATGCGGGAAGAATTGAGTCAGTTGAGGTCACTACCAGGCGACCACCACCATCGTCAGTGCAGATTCGTTATCCCTTGTTAGTCGGTATCACCACCGTCCTCGGCGCTCTTGCCGCCGCTCCGCCAGAATCACCACAACGAGCTCGGCCATCGCGACCATGATGATTTTGTCGGGCGAAAGGATTCAGATCAAGGCTAAGAAGATTAATTTTATGCCTGAAACGATCAATTCTATCCGCTGTATTGAGTATTGACATGCACTCCCGCCGCCAATCAAGGGACACACAATGATCAAACTCTTCCTATGTTTTTTTCTTCATAGAACTGAACTGTTTGACGGGAAAGTAGGATTTGTTGGGGAAATCAGCATAAAATAACCAAATAATTTTATAAATAAATAAATAATGTTTTTCGGGTAATTAATAACTTAAATATAAAATAGGTTTAACCAATAGGTACAACCTCCCTTGATTAAGGTGTGGTTATTAATCGACGGCTATCATCAAAAGTGACAGATCCCCATCTAAAAAATAGGCGGCACTAGTGTTGTGCCTGTAGCACAGAAATGGCCAAACAAATGTGTTACTATTACTAAATGGATCGTCTTAGAATCACTTCCATATCACCAAGAAATTAGAAGGATCACTTCATCACGAAATTTGAAATAAGGTTAGCACTTTCGATTCAGCTTTAAATATATGTAGAAAGATACGTCATGCATGCATCTTCTTTCTACCAATGAAATGATGGTGAATAGCTATGGATGTTTTTATTTTCCAACTGCCCACTTGCCGCAGCCATTACTTTCTACACATGCATTTAATTTTACCGCTCTTGTTACTGCTCATGTGTTCAGGGACCTCTGTCTCTGTTTTTCATTTCCAACCATCTACAGCCCCTACCCTCCCTTTCTCAAGTTGGCCGTTGCAGTAGTTCCCCATATTGATCCCTAGCTAGCTACCTTCTCCTTTATAAATTACTGCCATTTCTATGTTGTCTACTGCCACCTAATTTCAACGGCGTCGTCAAGTGTGTGCTATCATCGCACAAGATAGAGAGAGCGAAAGACAGAGAGAGAGAAAGAGGACAAAAAAAAAAAAAAACAATGGTTCGGTTGCCGTGTTGTGAGAAAGTTGGGCTGAAGAAAGGGCCATGGACTCCTGAAGAGGACCAGAAGCTCTTGGCTCACATTGAGAAGCACGGCCATGGAAGCTGGCGAGCCCTCCCACTCAGAGCTGGTGACCACCATCTTCATTATTATATATATGATCCATCAAACCTAGTCTGATATAAAGTACCTAGTTTGGGATATATATAAATAACGTCTTGTTGGTTGCGTGGGTGTGCAGGCCTCCAAAGATGTGGCAAGAGCTGTAGGCTGAGGTGGACCAACTACCTGAGACCAGACATCAAAAGAGGAAAGTTCAGTCTCCAAGAAGAGCAAACAATCATCCAACTACATGCTCTTCTCGGAAACAGGTACGTACGTTTGCGGTTTGTCCCTCTGTAACAAAACGTACGTGGAAAAAGCAACCATTTTAGTTTTGTGTTTCATGCAAGCAAATTAAGGTGGGCAGCTATTGCAACCCATTTGGACAAGAGAACAGACAACGAGATAAAAAACCACTGGAACACTCACCTGAGGAAGAGGCTGGAGAGGATGGGAATCGACCCAACCACCCACAAGCCCAGGAATGGCCGCTACAACACCTCCAAAGAAGCCGCCACCCTGAGCCACATGGCACAGTGGGAGAGCGCCCGCCTCGAAGCCGAGGCCAGGCTGGTCCGTCAATCCAACCCAGCCGCACACAACAAACCACCACCTCTTCGTTCGACAACATTCTCAAACAGCAGCAGACCGCGATGTCTGGACGTGCTCAGAGCATGGCAAGGCCTAGTCGCCGCCGACAAGGGCCCCTCCCTCGAGTCCCCTACCTCCATTCTCAACTTCCCGCCGCCGCCAGCTGCTACTACGGTTATTGCTAGTGCTCATTCAAACGTGGACGAGCTCATAATGCCGTGTGGCATTGTTTGGAGCCCCATGGTTCCTAGTTATGAAGGGGAGGGTGAGTCAATGGGGAACATGGGCGGAGGAGGGATTTCAGACGTGGTATTGGGTGTTGTGTCTAAAAGTTCTGGTCACCAGAACCTACGACCGCCGACGATGTTGCCGGTTGCCGGAGATGACAATGCAACCTTTGGTGACGTGGGAGGGAGCATTGAGGGCGAGAGCACTAGTAGTTACTGGAACGGCTTGCTTAATAGTTTAGTCTACGATGATGATGCTTCTTCACCTAGCGGCCACGGCCACCATGGTTTTTGAGTCTCTTCCCATTGTGGCGAGTTTGGATCATCAGTTACTATATTAGTTAATATTATATGATGATTGGGTGTTTGTCTTTCTGCGGGGAGAAAACTTGACCTTTTTTTAGTATGTAATGTTTGATTTTAGTATGGTAATGAGAGAAATTTTACAATGCTATATAGTATTGGTGCTATAGGGTTATGCTTTTATGGTACAACTTAAAATTGTACATGTACGTTATGGTACAACTTCAGATTGTACCTATACTTTTTGTACAAATTCTTTTATGGTACAACTTGAACTTGTACCTTTATGTGATGGTACAACTTCAAGTTGTAAAGTTGTACCATAACATAATGGTACAAATTGTTTTATGGTACAACCTAAACTTATACATTTAATGTTATGGTACAACTTTAAGTTGTACATTGAAGCACCAATACTATATAGCATAGTAGAAGTGCTCATGGTAATGAATGGTAAGGTTTGCATCTTTTCTAAACCATATATGGTATTAACTTGTACGAATGGTATTACTTAAGTTTTTTATTTATTTTTATGAATATGTTGATTATTTGGATTTTATTTTTGTGGTAGATAAAGAATTTCATTAAGTATTAGGATGACTCCAAAGTTAGGGGGGGTCCTTTGAAGGGTACATCAACCAACATGAGAAACAAAGGAAAACTAGAAAGAACCAAATAACAATATATGACGAGAATGGTAGATTTATGGATGGAAAAATACACAATTTTTGGGTATAGTGTACAAGGGCAAATGAGGTTTGCCATAAATTCATACCCAATTGTTAGCTTGGATTTTAATTAGACCCATTATATTGATCACTACCCAGAAGAATCGATAGTTAGATATCCAGTTTTAATGCAATTTTTGTATTTTCTTTGTTTTGAAACAAATATAAATGTGAAAATACCATTGTTGAAGATGTGAATCGGAATGAAGGAAGTCAAACAGACCTTTATGAAATATCCAAGCCAAATTAGTGACCCAAATTAGGCCAGATCCAAAAAGTGGAAATGAATATTCAATTAGTTTGACTCATTACCTATAAGAGTCAAGACAATTATATTGGATCGAATTACTCAATTAGTCTACCCATTGTCATATCTAGCTCACAAGAGCATAGTTAGAGAGATAACATATCCTCTGTAAATGAGATTAACCTATATAAACACACAATTCAAATAACCCAATGATCATGTAGTCATTCAAATTACATCAATTGAGTGAGCCCCAACTTCACATAGGCGAATAGTCATATAGTCTAGGTCAAACGTAACCGCGAGATCTATTCGACTTGCAAGTCTATGTGAATAATGCATTACACATATCAATTGAACAAGATTCAATATAATCAAACCATTCAATTCATTACAAGCAAACTCGATACTAGAACTAGGGGGTCTTGCCTCAAATACTCAAGAGATCATGCCATGCTTGGGAAAACACATAAAATATCACATTCCATGAGATGCACATGTCATAACGGAAGGTCGTAGTATCCGTCACCCCTGTACTTGGAATTGTATCCATGGGATATATAATGCGATGCTAGCTTTAGGGCTCATACTTGTCTCCCTATATATTGGTTAGAATACATTAATGTGCTTGTCCAAACACTCACATCGTGTATAACCTGGCACGTACGTTATAGTGAACAACATGATATGGAGACATATCTCATTGATTAAGAAACTTCTTATTAGTAATATGTAATAATCAGGTACACTATTATATGCGCATTGTAACCCTAAGATACTCTAACTGTGATCTACGACTATGTCGTGGACTCCTCAGTTGACGTGTTTTTATTCTCTCCAAATATTAAAGTACATTTTTTTTTTCGTTGGATAAGTACACGTTATTTCATTGATCATAATTAATACAATTTTTAGTGCGCCTAGGACATAATGATCAGTCCAGTATAACTTTGGTTATACACTCCATAAGTTCACAGGTTCATAGTGGAGAGATTATGCATGAGTGAAATATGAAAAAAAATCATGGGGCCGGTAAGAGACAATTTTATATAATTAAGATAGTTAACTACTACGTGAAGATCTAACGTATAAATGTAAATGTTTACGTAATAAGCATTATAGTAATTTACATATAACGTGGTTTATAAAACCTTCTGTAACTTAAATAAAATATTGAAGTTATAGTGATTTAAATGTGTGATAGGACTAGTAGATGGTTCCAGAGAATAAAGATGGAAGTTGAAAGAGATTTGCATCCTTTCTTCCGGTTTTTATTACTGTACCAACAATAAATAGAATATTGGTCGTCGGAGGGGGGGCTGGAATAATGGTTCGTGACTGGTATACGTACTTGGGAAGTAAGTAGGGATGCCCGGCCGGCTGGGAACAGAAACAAATGCAGCTGGCGGCTTTATGTGCATGGGACCGCCTCGTTAAATACGTCGTACAGCGATCTCAAACCTCATAATTCACGAAGCTACTTCACTTCCTTTCACTTAAGGTTTATATTCATTACACTAGTCGAGGGAACAGAGGAAGGTAGCTCACTTCAGTAAAAGCTGCGTACAGACCTGACGATCTAAGAGATCGATTATTCCTAATTAAACCTTATCACTTGTCAGCCAGCGGCTGCCTAAATGACAATGGTGATGTCTAGTTACAAGAATGAGCACTTCTACCGTGTTATAAAGTATTGGTGCTTTAATGTACAATTCAAAATTGTAATATAACGTTAAATGTATAAATTCAGATTGTATCATAAAAGAATTTGTAGCCTTATGTTATGGTACAACTTTACAACTTAAAGTTATATCATCACATAAAAGTAAAAGTTCAAATTGTACCATAGAAGAATTTGTACAAAAGAGTATAGGTACAATCTGAATCTGTACAATAACGTTAAAGGTACAACTTGAAGTTGTACCACAAAGATAAAAACCTATAGCACCAATCCTATATAGCTTTGTAAAATTCATCTACAAGTATTTTGTTTCTACTTTTACTAGTATGTTATAGAAGTCATTGGCGTAGCCACGATTTGTCAATGGTGGGTCCATTTAGAAAAAACAATATATATGATAAAATACTTTTGTTAGCTTTTTAGATCATTCATAATATAATTTGTATTTAAAAAAATTTGATAAATTAAATATATATTAATATTGGAAATATCAAGAATATCAGTATCCAGTGGCGGAGCCACATATAGAGGAGAGGGGTCCTTGGACCTCACTTAGAAACAAATGGGGCAACAAAATCCTTTAGATATGTAGGGTTTAGTATGATCCTTTGTATTTAGGACGCAATACTTTTGTTGATGTTAGCTCATCTAAGTACACCAACTCAAAGTTCATTAGATACACAGACCAAATCGTTTTAAAATTTTTAAGGACCTCAGTCAATTCTAAGTCTGGCTACATCAATGTCAATATCAAACAATTATTCATGATTTAGTAAGACATTTGCTTTTGAACGCTGTTATTGTCAAGACCGTTTAGTATCAATAACTCAAGTTTTTGGAAAAGATTTAATACTGAATTAATATTATATTATTTAGAATTTACTAACACTTCCCCGCTAACAAAACAAACTTATACGTGCTTAAAGTTTTTGTAAATCCGAATATCATGTGTTTAACAAATGAGATCACCAAGATTCTAACACATGATCTCATAGTCAACCATTGCAATTAGAAGTGCACTAAATTTCATTCTCAATTAACTATAATTAACTCATTTTTCATCTTTATGAGCCACCCGTTACACTCTCCCTGCCCCTGATTGTAATAAAATTGTTTTTACAAATTAGCTATGATTTGGTGGAAATTTGTTATAGATATTGAATAAGTACCTCTTTAATTTTGAGAGGATCATATGCACCATTTTCTTCTGTAGCTAACTCGTTATAAGAACATTGTATATGCCAGTACACAACTTATAAATCATAGGAAACTGGGGTTGGAATTCTTACAACCTCATTCAGATGAATATTAAATTGATCAATATTCCTAGTGAATTGTACTCACTTATAATATCGTATGGGTTAACAAAATAATAAGTTCCGCCCAAACGACATCCAATTCATTAGAGGTCTGAGTAATGGTGTCATGATAACCTGAGGGCTCGATCCTTCTGGCCGGCAAAGTCGCGATCATTTTCTCGCATATACGCATCTTTGTGTGGTTCTTAATTAATAATAGATTGAACATATGCGAATTTGGTGAAACATAGCAATTGCTAACATTCGTTTTCTCTGTATTCAACTTAACATTTTTATGGGTAAAAAAAAGAAAAAGTGAAGAAGGAGACCAACCCTATCGCTAACATCATCCACAATCTTGTGGTTCTAAAATGCCAAAAAGTGGTAGAACCCCCTTTCTACATGTGCGATAAATTTTAATCATACTTGGTTGACATTAATTTCGAAGGTGGATAGGGTGGAGCAGATGACACAGATTTGTCCCATTAATTAGCAAGTTTGTTTACAAGATTATTGCTAATATTATGATGGACTAATTTGCGTTATATTTACCTTTGATTGTTTCCCCAAGGCAGAAGGGTTTTGTGTGTGGTTGTCAGATAGTGGATAACGTCCTTATTGCATGGTAAAGGAAACCGTACCGGAAGTCATACCGGATCCGTCAGTAGTAGGGTATTTTGTGGTACTACCGTGCTTCAATCGTTGTGTACCAGCAAAATACCGTTTTTGTAATTAAAAAATATTTTTTTGTTAAAAAACCGTACCGGCAGATTCAGGATACCGTTTCGGAGTAATACCGGAGTAAAACCGGAATATACCGGATAACAAACCTGAATAAACTAAATAGCCCCATTTGTTATTTTTAATGTCTTGGACCTGATGCATAACTTCAGATTAGTCTGATCATTTGACTAACTTCATGAGAATAGCTCATAGGATTCGCAGCAACAGGGGTTGTGCTTCACTTTCAGAGCGATAGGAGTTCATCTACTATCTAATTCTAGTTTCATGGTAGAGCTGTGAACCTCTAAGCTCCTC